GCAGCTGAGAAGAGCCTCTATAAATAAGCCTGTTCCTGAGCCTGATCAGTGATTACACCAGGACATGCGTTGTGTAGTTCATGTAGAAAATCCCAAAGAAGAAAAATGAAGTATTTTTCCACTTTTAAAATGTTCTCTGAACAAAGAGAACTAGCTAACTGTAGAACGTGATGCTGTTCAGAAAAAAATGGAATGTCTGCAGATGATCTAGGAGTGTGGAAGGAGAACTGGGCCACAGCCTCTTTTTCTTTCTTGTTGGTTAGCACCTGAAGATGAAAAAGAAAAGGAAAAAGAGCAACATTCTGAAAGGTAAGGCCCTGCCCTTCCACTCCAGAGGGGACTTGTGGTCACCTGTCCCAAAGAGACCAGAGCCATGTCCCAGAGGAAATCAGTTGCAAAGATTTTAGAGAAAGGATTCTGGAAAGGAAATCATCATAACAGAAACACTTCTCAGATCCTGTGCTCAGAATGAAGCTGTGGTGGGCAAGGAGTGGATGATGTCCAGTAGGGAGGTATGGGCACTATTGGAGTCATGCTATCTGTGATCCTGCCAGTGAGGAGAATCAATCAGGGCCAAGTTCTGTTTCCCCAGGGGTGAAGACTGAACACTCAAGAAATGCAGAGGCAAACATAGAAAGGAAGTTTTACTTGAAGGATAGAATGGAGACAGACTTCTCCACAGAAAAGGGGCCCCAGGGGTGGGTATTCAAAAAAGTAGGGGTGTCTTGTCCCTTTTGTACACGTTAGAATTCCTCTGTTCTCATAAATTCTTTTTTCCCTTATCTTGCCTCTCCTCTCCCATCCTGCATACATGACCCAAAGATGGGCCCAATGATGAAATGATCCAGGCAGGAAGGGAACAGCACAGGAGGCATCAATTAACAACTCCTACAACTCCCTGCAGGGAGGAACAATTCCTGGGGCAGTTAACCTAGCAACAGGTTAGAGGATAAGGGGGAAGGAAACATGGGAGGATGAGGGGGAAAGATCATTAGATTTCCAGTACTTTTTACTAGCCCCCATCTTCCTGATTGGAATAGTCATTTATTATTGACAATGACTTCCTTTTGTTCCCCTGCTTCATCTGCATAAGGAGGTGAAACTTCCTGGTCAAAGTGAAGACAAGCTTTCAATTCCCTAAGAAACTTTCCTCTTTGAAATTGTCCAATATTTCTCCCAATACTGTGGTTATTAGTACAACGGAGGCTAGTGGAGATGGAAGTAAATGAAAAAATGCTGCTCCTCTATGTTCTTTGCTATCCATGTCATTTGTCATGTAGACTTGAACAGTGGTGCTTTGCAACCAGAGTCTACCCTCTTTATTGGCCCCATGTGGATATTCCACTCATCCTCACTTCTCCACAATAACCAGGTCTTTTTTTTCAGATTATAGTGATTGCTGGAAGAAAGAGGAAGAGCCTGAAGATCTGCTTTCACTTCTACGAAAGTGAGTAACTTTCCACTTCATCCTGAGTCCTTCCTACTGCTGCCTATGACATCATCCAGCAACACAAAGCTCTCATAGGGGAGGAAGGAGCCTCAGGTGGGGCAGTATGTGTCTAAAGCTCTGGAGTTATGGGACATCAAGGGCTTTGTAATATTAGTGAGTGGGGCAATGAGGAGCCATGGATCACAGGTGTTAACCCCTGCACCACCTGCCCTACCTCCTGTGCCCATCTGCTCCTGGCTGAAGCCTGTGCCTCTATCTCTTGCAGCCACCTACAGAAGCTCCAGGATGACAGCAGATTTCATCAGCTCATAAAAGGAGATGACCCAGATAAGTCAGCTGGAGTCCAACAATCACATACACTGCCTGTGGAGGATACTTTGGCCACTGCCTTCTTCCCTTTGGCTTCCCTGATTTCTTTGAGCAAGCGCCCTCTGCTTCTGGCCTCTACTTCCTCACCAGACCTAATGACTTCCTCAGATACTCTTGAGTCTCACTCATCCTTGAGTGCTTCTAAATCAAGAGAGTCTATGATTCCTCTAGAACAACGTTCACCTCAGCCACACAGAATTTCCTCTCCACAATCTCATTCTCCTGATCACATGGCCCATTGTGCATCTCTGCCAAGCCCCAGCCTGAATTCTTCTCAGTGTGACTCAATGACACTTTCACTGGGAACCAACCCACAGAGCTCCTCTCCACCCAAAAAATATTGGTTGCCTTCTCCTGTCCCACTGCTATCTCCTGTCTCATCGCCTTCTCCTGGCCCATCATCTTTTCCTGTCCCATTGCCATCTCCTGTCCCACTGCCATCTCCTCTCCCAGCAATTTCAGGCCATATTCTCTCCACCTGTCCCATCTCATCTCTCTCCTGGTGGCAGATGGCTGCCAGAGTCTGTGACCTCTCTCACTCCCCACACAGTGAATCCAAGAGAGATCATGCTTCTCACCCACCAGAGGACACACTCTGGGGAAACCACCCACACTCTCAGGTAGAGACTGAAGGGACCTCTTTCATTAATTCCAACGCCCAGAAACTATTGGAGATACTGATCAGCAAGAGAGCAGAAAGGAAAATTTGTAATTTGAAGACAAAAAATGAAACAGTCTACTCCCTGAATTCTCAGGGAAGCAAAGTAAAGTCACTGGGCAGGGAGCAGAATACTACCATCTGGAATACAAAAGGCAAGTCAGAG